ACCCCCCCCCCCCCCCTCCTAAACCTGACCCAAAAATGATATATGTGATAATCGATATTACTAAAATTAGAAAGTTGAAATCATACATACATACAAATGTACTCTATGTACTAAAATCCAATGTGGTCAGCAAAGTGGTATGACAGTTATACCACCGCACAATGACAAACCTGGAACGTCAGTGTGCGGTGGTATGACAGTTCTACCACTTTTCCTACCCCTACAGAATTTTTCAGAAGGGATGAAAAAAAATTTTGAAGCGTTTTTTGTGCTTATCTTTATCATTAAATTTGAACCATAACATTTTTTTTAAAAAAATGAAATTTTTTTTTTCCGTGCAACAAAGGGTTAATTGTATCTATATCAACTGAGCCTGTATCAATTTTATGAAATAAATGCATTTCAACCTCAAAAATTAATCCTACCAACCTAAATTGATACGTCTTAAAATCACTCATCACTAATTTTACTTCGATGCATTGAAAATGACCCGTAGCTTGCTACCTTAATTAGTGGTCCAGAGTCGGACTAAGAAGTATCCTTTAAAGTAGAGGGTTCAAGGGCGAGGATGCTGAGGGGGGGGGCGTAGAGAAAATCCATAGAAACGAAGTCATGCGAGTAACCGTAACCGTGCCGCCGCCGTGACTTAACTAACCTCAAAACAAATTTTATTCTATTTTGCATCTCAAAATCGTCATCTTCCTGCCAAAGTATCACAAGCGCCGTGCGACGTTTAAAAATTGTCACCGCTATTTTAATTTTGCACAGAGGAATGTTCAACGAAGCTGTCCGAAAATTTCACTGAATTTTCTTTGTGCTGCCGATAAAATTCAGTAACATTTTCAAACACACTATCAACAATTTCTCTTTAAAAAATAAAATGGCTGCGGAAATTTTGGAACGTCGCATGGTGCTTGTGATGCTTACGCCGGAAGGTGACCGAATTTGTCGTCAGGTGACATCCGGCAACATTGGAAAGTTCATGCGGTGTTTTCCCGTTTCACGGCAGATGAGAGCCGGTGCACCATCTCCGCGATTTAATTGATATCGTCCGTGACCGACGGGAGATACGGGGAGGGGGAAGGGGGTTACGTTTACGCGTTGTCGCGATCGCAGCTTGTTGCGCTGGTTGCAGGTGCACTATCTGCCAGGCGCAGGGACTGTAACAGGTCCCAATAAAGAGCCAACAGATAGCGATCCCTCCCGGATAAACGGGCTCACAAAGCGAAAAGTAAATTGAACTACCGCGCTCACCTCACGTGTTAGTCGGTCGTGAAAAAACGCGCATCTGCCCGAGAGATACCTCGTTGCTTGCGTGTTTCTTCGATCGATCGACGCTGCGGTTTTATTAAGGTGTTGAGTTTTATCGTCGCGTCTTAAAGCTGCACACCTCGACGAAAGGGAATTGCTTTCTGGAATGAGCCTTTTTGTCTGTGTTACCGCATGCTTTTGGGGGCTCACATGGGGATGCAGAGGAGTCGTTACGTCTGACGACTGTGTCCGAGAGTCGCGGTACGTCGTTTGTGGCGTGCTGCTGGGATAGATAAAATGTCTGCAGGTAAAAAAGAGTCTGAGAGAAAACCGGAAGGTGCTTGGACGGTTACCACCGTTGTATTGTCCTCTGTTTAATTCATGATTTTATCGCTTTAATGAAATTTTTACACTCAAGAGTCGAAAAGATTTTCCGATGGATTCCTTGGAATTCCCCTGCCGTGCTAAGGAAGAGCGTCGTATGAAAATTCGAGAGTTGCCAATTCTCCCCGAATACAGCCACCGAAACCGTCGTTATCTTGTTGCATGCTTTAACTGAATCAATTAACGATGTGTGATTCTGATTTAGTAGATTTCATTGATAGTGTGACAGATAGTGTGAGTAGATTTCATTTTTCTCAATCTCGCCCTCAATTCGTCTGCATAGGTAACTAATCTGCCTGAGAGCGTGAATAGTAGTCTATTCGAAAGCTTGCAGTTATCTTTCTCCATAAATTGTTTTGCCGGAACCTATACTGCCGTGCTAAGGAAGAACTCCGTATGAACCCACAGACGTCGCCATATCTCCTCCAATAAAAAACAAATGACCCAGGGAAATTGTGAATATTTTTCTCAAAATAATTTAGACGATTTTGTTTCCAATTTGATCCAAAATATCTGCAAAGTTTAGGGGGAAAGAGGCATAACTTTCCTCAGAAATACATGTTCTATCCTGGGAAATTTTGCAACTCATGAATGTTCATACGGATTTCTACCTTAGTATGGCAGTATAGCCAGACCCATATCATTCAACAAATTAGGGTATAGCGCCGGAATTTTAAGGGATAACCCCTTACACGTTTTTCTGTGTAGAAAGCCTTTGGTACCCTACATCTTAGAGCTTTGATTTCGTTTTTCATCGAGCTTAATTTGATTTACTTGATGTTTGATTTCAGATATTAAATAGGACAAATAATATTTTTGAGTTAGTGACGATCGAAAGCGTGTTGCACAAAAGCGCTTTGGATCGGCGGCAAGATACTGTGATATTGAGCGATGAACTCGAGTCATCGCCCGACGATAAAAAACTTAGACTAAAAGGTGAGTCCCACTTTTTGCTCTTTTGGACTTGGTATTGGACACATTGTAATGTAGCACAGTGCGGAATCCCATGGACAGAAATCGAAATTTGACTTTCAAATTTTTCAAATGTAGTCATGATATTCACCACCAGGACAATTTTTTTGACACGGGTATACTTTTTTCTTAATTTTCCTTAAAACGCCCATTTAAATGTCGATTTGAGGTGGCGGTTAGCTCGATCTGTCCCATAAGAAAAACACGGTATTTAAGTTCTCAGCTTTCGTTAAAATTTTCTTGATAGCCATGGATATCCCTTTGCAAAGTGTAGCATAGTAGTAGATTTATTATATTATGGAGTTTTCCACAGAATATATTTAAGGACGGATTTTTTTCTCTCTTAATTATTTTCAAAAATTGCACTCATGCACTTAATTATCCAATTCCCTCGATTCAATTTTAATCCGCCATCGGCTTCAGGTTCAAAAACGCGGATTTTACTGAAATTTAGAGTCCTCTATTGGCACAATAATTAATTTAATGCCACGCATTATTAGTTCTCCAGTGCATTGTACGTCGTTCCTTAGACGAAGGGACATAACTACATTTGGATTTTATTTCAATCACAAATTGAATCTTTAGCAGGAGTCTGGTCGGAGTATTTTAATTGAAAGTTTCATCGACTTTCCTTATCATACGTTAAAATTGACACAAGTTTTTCCGAAAATTGCACGGCCTTATTCCTGTGCTTAATTGAATTGTGTGGGTCAATGTTGCAACCTCAGAAGGAAGTGACATTCTAAGACTTCACCGTCGAAATCTCGAAATCCAATTTCCCGACCCAACTCATGACAGAACTCACTCTATTGACAATTTTGCTGCCATGGACTAAGTTCAATTTTCCGTGGACTGTTACGAATCGGACGCACTAAGATCAAAAGGAACTTTCCTCATTGTAACATGAGCCCTGGTTCGTATAAGAATGCAGACGTAACGGGGCTCATATCATGATGGGTATAGTTTCCTTTGATTTAAATACGTTCAATTCAGATTTTGTCTGGCGCAGTCCTCTCGTCTCAAGTTCGAACTTCCGTCCCTCCCCATGAACGAAACGTGAACTCTTTTGTCCGAGCACCCTAAAATACCCTTGCATCTCAAAAGAGGAAGTTACCGTCCCCCGATATTTGATACAGGAGAGAGTTCTCAACTTTTTCACCAAACCGGTAGAAAATATCCGGTGACATTTTCCTCTAGAGGATAAGTGCTAATTGCCGAAAGCCGGAAGTTCTCTCGATGAACAGCTTTGTTGTAAGGAACATTTTCCCAATAGCACGAGACAAGAAAATAGCCCAGGGGTATTCTGCCATACTACTGCCGTTCTAAGGAAGAACCCCGTATGAACATTTGAGGGTCTCCAAATTTCCTCCGATAAAATGTTGATTTTTTAAAGAATGTTATGAATATTACTCCATGAAATTCTCAAGAATTTTAGGTAAAACATGCGGAAAAAAATATCTGAAAAATTAGAAAGAAAATGTTCTTAAGTTCACCAGGAAATCCGGTTTTTATCAAAGGAAATTTGGCAACGCATGAAGGTTCATACGACGTTCATCCGTAGCACGGCTGACTTATGATAGTCAGCCGTTATGGGATTTCCAGTCGGCAACAAACGTCACAAAACATGCAATACATATCACCCTCTTACTTCCGTTCTCATACAAACATCGTTTCATCATGGTGTAAGAATGCAGCAGCAAAGTGCACGAAAATATTCAAAACGCCTTCAAATACTTTGGTATGCAACACGCACATTCATGGAGCAAGAATAGTTGCATTCAGGCACTATCATACATTTCGCGTTATTCCATTCACCTACCAACAGAGCGAGCGGGATATTCTGCTGCGCCTGCGCTAAAGAGGAGGTCATCCGCATTTTCGAACGGTGCCAAATTTTCCTGGATAAGACACATATTTTTTAAGGAACTTGTGAATGTTACTCATTCGGTTCCTGCAGAGTTTCATTTTCAATTTAATCTAAACGGTACGAAAATTTCAACTACAAATATTCGTAAATTTTCTCGAAACTGGATTTTATCGGGGAATTTATTGCAACAATGTTCACAAGACGTTTATCCTCATCACGGCGGTAATTATTGCAATTGCAGATTTTTGGAGATAAAATGAGACATTCCTGAGGACTGTGAATGTAGTTCACTCATTATGGAAGTGGGGTTACGCTGTTCTGGCTCTGAAAAGGTTCAGTATTCGATTGAACAAGATATCCTTTTTTCGGAGTTATTTTTCGTTTAAAATTAAGGATACATTTTATTTTGACCACTTGTTTCAGGCCAGATGATATACATGGATAACTGGCGGATGATGATGTACCTGGGAACTCCTGTGATGCCGGACCTGCACGCTTTGATAACGACCGGCCTCTATATCAACGATCTTTCCATGCACGATTTCAGCAGGTAAATATATGCAACTCAAGCTTTTTCTCCCCTCGACGTTGAAATATTAATATAAATATTAATATTTTGTGAGCTGTTGCGTTGCTAAGACGTATTCCACTCCATTCTGCAAACTTTTTCGGGACGCAGAAGTTAATTATTTGGGTTGAAATTCGATGATAAAACAATAAACCACGTTCCTCAGTTCTCAATTATGCAAATTGTTCAATTTATTTCCCTTTTAAGAATTCCACGACGGTACTAATCAAAAGTAGATTAACTGTGATTCATGTTGCCTAATTTTTTCTCGAGCTTTCTTGTCTTAACGCACATTTAAATGGAACAAAGCCCTGCAACTTTCTATAAAGTTGTCTCAGATTATGAAGAATATATTCACAAAATTTCAAGTTAGGGAAATTAGGTTATCAGGGGAAGTGTGGTTTGGTAAAGCATGATTGTGTTTGATGCTCATTTAATCTTCTAAAAATACTTAATGTCAGTAGGATTCCACTGAGTCAAGTGCAATAATTTACAAACATTTAAAATGCAAAATCTCTCTGTTTTTGCCTTAAATGAAATTTTCATTGAACCTTATTAATGAAAAGAAGGTTCTTACTTTCTTAATATTCTAATCATTACAAAAGTTATGATTGCCGATAAAAGGGTTTTGTTCCAATCAGGCGTACTAAAGCTAATGCATAGAATTACGTATTTCAATGCTATACTTTGGAGCATGCTTTTTCATACATATTTTTCCCAATTTGTTTTCATGAAGGACTGCGTTTAACAGAGACGATTCAATCAGATTTCAATCGGGCAATTCGATTTTTACATAAAAACAATTGCGCAAAGTCTAGTGAATTTTCTGCATAGCACGAATCGAATTCGTTAAAATGTTTAAAGGATCTGTACAAATATGCTCTCCTGAAAAAAGCACAGCCTAGAACCATACTGCCGTGCATAGGAAGAACGCCACATGAACATTCGAGAGTTGACAAATTTCTCTGGATAAAACATGTAGTTTGGAGGAAAGTTGTGCATTTTCCCCCTGAAATTTTCAGATACTTTAGAGTAAACTCCAAACAGGACTGTCTGACATTTTTGAAGAGAGCTGTTCACAATTTTCTATGTGAATTGGTTTTTAATGGAAGGAAACATGTCAACATCTGAAGGCTCATACGGCGTTCTTCCTTGGCACATCAGCTTAGTCCGAGGAAAAATTCGGTGAAAATGTATTAAAGCAGGTATTTGTGTGAGGGATCTGCGTTTACCCGCACTCTTGTCCTTTTTGCACGAAGACCGCAGAATTTATTTCGTAGATGATGTTTATTTTCCTAGAGACCTGATGTTGGCAGGCACGCAACAGTCGGTCGAGCTGAAGCTGGCTCTGGATCAGGAGCAGCTGAAATCGAAGAAGCTGGAGGAATCCATGCGGAAGTTGGATGAGGAGATGCGGCGCACCGACGAACTCCTCTACCAGATGATCCCCAAACAGGTCGCCGATCGCCTTCGCAACGGCGAAAACCCAATCGACACTTGCCAGGTACGCAGTGTAGTGAAAGTCAGTCAAGAAGAATAAGCGAGAATGGAGAATTTGCATGCAATTTTTTTATTGCTTCATCTGAAAGTGCCTAAAAAGCTGACTTTGCAGTATTTTTTATGGTTTTTACCTACAATGGGATATAAGAATATATAATAGGAATATATATTTAAAAATGAGAAAATGCACCGCCTAGTGATGTCATCTGGCGGATTTCCGATTTAAACACATGTATTTTAGCAGGTCAGGTTATTTTGTCATATCTCCTCCAAAAATTGTTCGATTCATGAACCAAGGGTTTCCTCGTTCAGTTCACTCAGTAGTTCCCGCTTAAACACGAAATTTTTCAAATTTTAGACACCTGCAAATTCTCTATTGAAAGATTTTCCATCAAAATGGAGAATGTGCTCGAAAAAATTCTATTCCCCCATCTAAAAAGGTTATTGAGCCATGTGCCCCGTATGTTTTTAAATCGTTTTTAAATATTTTTTTCTGACTTGGGAAATCGTAAAAAAATAGATTTAAACGTTAGAGGATACTTGCCTTGTGACGTAATCAGGCGGTATTTCCAATATGAACACATGTATTTAAGCAGATTAGGTCATTTTGTAATATTTTTTCCAATAATTGTTCAGTTTAGAAACCATAAATATTCTCCTGCCCAAGTCCATCAGTAGTTTCCAATTAAACTTAAAATTTATCAAATTTCAGACAGCTGCAAATTCTCCATTTCCTAATCTCTGCAAACGTGGAAGAAAAAAAATTATACTAAGAATTCGTTTTTTTATTTTTCAAGCTTGCCCATGCAAAGCTTAATTTTCACCTTGTGTGGGGGTTCATTTAATTTTTTTGCTTCAGAACTTTCCAATATCTGAATAATAGGAAGACAAATATTTATATTTTGCCTTATCATTCGTTTTTTATTATAAGAAACTTGGCAACGTCCGAATGGCATATCACGAGCTAGACAGAATATGCTCGCGCAGATGAAACAAGAAACGTAAAGTGTCAATCAGCGCCTTGATACAAATGTTCGTGCTCAATGGTTGTGCGTGTTGCATGCGGATGTAATTGAAGGCGTTTTGAATTTTTTCGTGCCTCAGTGATTGCATTCTCACGCTGTGATGAAACTGTGTTTAGATGAGGACGGACAAAAAGCGGGAGATACATATCGCATGTTTAACCGTATTTGTTGCCATTATCAGTTCGATGCATTAATTTTAAGGCCCTATGTCTCAACTGCAAGGTTGTAAAATTTCCTTCAATACATTAATTTGTACTCGAAGACTAACTGATCGAAATCATGTCTTGAATTTTCACAGGGCTACCCAAGAATAACGAGGCAGTATATAGCGTCAAACCCCAAAAGAGTTTTTGCGCCTTACAAGGACCGCTCCCTGTGTCATATTTCAAAAATTAAAATAGAGCAGGCTCATGAAGAGGTTATTACCCAATGGCAGCCGCAAAAATCGCAAGAAATGTTCGCAGTTGATCAGAACAAACTTTTAAAAAAAGTGAAAATTTACATCGTAGAAATGGAGAAATTCACAATTTGATCTGCACGATTTCATATTTCAAAAAATGAAGAAACCTGGCATACTCACAGATTTTTACAAATCAATCGCTTTAAAAATCTTAAAAATCGGCCGGTAAATCGCTAGGTTTCATGAGCTAATAGGATGTGAATTTAACATCTAATATTTTAATTTGTAAGAGTGTGAGTGCGTGTCGCAGTCAGTGGTTTTGAAATTTCCTAGGAAACACCCAGATCCGTACAAACAATTCATTCTCTAGACAGGGTTGATGATTTGGCCATGTGCGATGAATTTAGTCATCAACTGCAATTCTCATCACAGAGGGGAAAAGATCATCCGAGCCAGTGGCGTGGCGTGCTTTGCGATAAATCGATTTACCTGTCATTTCAGCCTATGAAACAGGATAGATAAACAGGGTTTTCACAACGAACACCTAAATAATCGATTATTCCTACCAGAGCTTCAAATGGAGGCATATCGATGAGGGATCATTCGCGCATCGCTACTGAACCGAGCTCGAGATTCTCCATTGAAAAATAATGTCTAAACGACTCGTGCGTTCAACCGTGGTAATACATTTTCTTTTTTATTACATTCGAGAGACCTGTGCATCTATAGCAATATTATGTTTTGCCCTAGATGTTTGACAGCGTGTCGATACTGTTCTCGGACGTTGTGACATTCACGGAAATATGCAGTAGGATCACCCCGATGGAGGTCGTTTCCATGCTCAACGCCATGTACTCCATTTTCGATACTTTAACGGAGAGAAACAAAGTTTACAAGGTAAGACGATGACTCGCATGCCTGCACCCTCGTAACGAGACTTAACTTTCCATCTATCTCACGATTAACCCGTAAATGGAAGTAAATCTGCATCGTGCACAGCATTGAGGATTGTCACAACGGGACTCCCGCACCCTCGGGGATACCAAACCGCTCATTTACAACGTGAGCCGTGGTTAGCGAGTGTACTAATGTACTTCAAGGCTCGAGTAGCGTTGTCTCCGGTTGCAGGGAAGACAGGCTCATATGTTTCCATTTGTACGTGACTGTAATTGAGGCAGACTTGGGAGCTACATTCAAATCCTTAGAGGGGAAGTTTTCTCCCCGAGTAAGCCGGCATAAACTAAGGAGATGGCTCCGACCCGATTTCCAAAAGCTCTGAGTATTCATTCCATTGTCGGCTCAGCATTCTATTCATAGTCCTTCTGTAAACAGTTGCTTTCCTTACAAGGCTCAATTTAATTCAAACTATGATTAAAAACAGGCTTAAGGAGGCCTTCTAAATGGCATCATACAAAAGAGAAATTTTGCCCATTGCGATTAAAATTCAGCGGCATAAATTTGAATTTGGTTCATTGCCAGGGTTATCCATCGATGGTGAGACTGTAGAAATATGCACATTGGTTTGTGGCATTGCAGACTTCCTGGCGTACTTTATTTTTTAGATGGAAAACCACTAAATGCCATTTGTTTAAAACGTCTGTGGTTTTTCTTCTGTGCGTAAAGAATATTCTGTAAAAATTTTAAACAATTATGTGGCTTTGGTATCCTTCCAAAAAATTAAATAGGACCGGAGATTTGAAGACACTGCAACCGAGATGCGCACAATTGCAGTTTCACCATCGGTACGGATTTGCCACAGCAAAAAGTATAAAACGTATACGGAAGAAAAAGTGTTATGATTCCGGCAAGCTTCAAGGGCGGTCGGAATCTACTTTAAAATTTCAAAAATTCTCATTGAATTTTCTCTCATATTTTACATATTTTGTATTCGCAAATCATTGTAATCCCTTTCAAGAACCCATTCACGAAGTCATGTCACTGAATTTTACTCAAGACTGGCAAAAATTGTCCTTTTTATAATACAATTTTGAAGGCCTCCTTAAGCCTCTCCCATTCACGATGTAAATGAAGTGGGGCCCTCAAGGACCTCCTTAAGAAATGACTATCAATACAACCCTCATAGAAGAAATCACACGCTATAAATACTGGGAGGTTGGAGTCATTTTTCAAACAAAAAGATTTCCCGTTTAAGGCATTCGACAATCTTGATTGTCGAATTTTGGCTATATTTGGCTAATTGTTGGTTATATTCCCTTTCAAATTTAGCATCATCTATCAGTTGTAATGCAATCAGGGATAATAAATTTTCCTTCGAAATCATTTCAAACCTTAACAATGCTGTGCATGTTGGAAGTGAAGTATTAAAAGTATGCATGTATGTTCAAGGTTCCTCTGCTCTTTTTTTTAAAAAAAAAAAAAAAAAAATCTTGCTAGTTTTTTCTCCTCTTTGATTCAAAAATAGGCTAAGCATTTGTCAGTTTTAACTGTATCTGTTCTATACCAACTGAAATGTATCTGCATTTAAGCGCGCGCACACTGTTTTGCAGCTTGCAGCAATCTAGTGATATTTATGACAATATGTGTGTACTCTGCCGTGCTTAAGAATATCTAAACCGATTAGTATGCCAGCACACCTAGCAGCTAGCATGATCTGCATGGATGCTTTAAATCACACTGTTTTTCATAAGATTTTGCGAGGAAGAAGGAGTTTTCCCACACTGCAAATATCATAAGATCGTAAATATTTCCGAAAAAATAAAAATGAAGTTTTAGAAATTTCAAATGAAGTGTGCATGTTGTTCGAAGTTCAATTTCTAAGCAAGACCTGTACCCGTTTACTATACCTTTACCCCGTAAAATGAAGGCACGCTGTAAATATTTCCCTCACGACCTCCTATCAGCTCCAATTCAGCTTCTTCTTTTTTTTGGCATTAAAAAGTACTGCTAAAAAGCAACATAGACATTAATTAATTGACTTGAATATAGAAGTTTTGCAATTGACGTCGAGCTTTCTTAAAGAGTAGAGTGAAAAGAAAACCGCACGTGCTCATCAAAATATGTAATTAGTAGAAACAAAAACATATAAAACTAACACGTGATTTTTCATTTTAACGAGTTTACTTTGTAGATAGTTTACTTCTTTTTTTTTCATTTTAAGAGGAGCAAAAATGTTTAAGTCTTCAAATCGGAAAAAGAGGGAAATGAGATGCTGTCCAGTAAACTTGTGAAACAAGGCTAAGAATATGAAAATAAGAGGAGAACAAAATCCTCAAACAAAGAAAGTATTACCAAATATTAAATCAAATGTTTGTCTCATTGCATTGCAGTTGATTATCCTCTTATCCGTCGGTAATAGTTACTCCTAGTAACAAACTTCATCGTTTCTGTTGATTTGCCTTTGGTTTTAGTTTTAGTTTTGGGGAGAAACGCGATAAAAACCTTTTTTTTTCTTGAAGAGACAGTGAATTAAATTATTTTCTTTTTCCTATGTTATAAATCAGATGTATCGTGCGTGTCTACAAAGTAACGCAGCACTGAAAAGACCTCTCCATAGGCTGAAAAATTTTCCTGAGGTCGGAATACTTTTTGCAAAGACGACTTTCAATAATGTACATTTCAATGTATACAAATAACAAAAGAGATGGTATTTTAAAAAGAATTTGACACCTCTCAGTCAAGTTTCAGCGGCAGTTCAGACCAAATGGAAACCCAACGAAATACCTTTGAAGATCTACCTACTGCTGATTGAAGTGTAAAAGAATCAGGACTTTCGCGAAATCAACTTACCTCTGAAGGATAAATACTTTTGTTTGTCTTATAAACGATCCTAGGGAATTGAGAGCTGAATAAAAAGTACATGAAATGCTCGTAAATAAAAGGGTAATAGAATTTACTGTGTAGCTTCGCATTTTCTGAACTCAGTGGGGAAATGAAATGCCTTGAAGTTTTACAGTAACATGAATGAATACGCACAAGGTGAATCCGTGAAAAAGTTACGTAAAGTACGAGCATCTCTGAAGATTATTTTTGATACCACCAATATAATGCTTTAATTTTAGCTTCAACTGCGCAGCAAAAAAAGAGAATAGGTGGGGCCAAAAAAAATATTTTATTTTAGCACCCATCTATGAAGTTGTATTTATTTAATTTAAAAAAAAATACAGCAATGGTACATTTTTGCATGTGATTAATTGAACAAAATTTGACTTTACTCAATCGCCAATGGCAAATTTTTCGTCGTGAATGAAGCTGTCCATTTTCCAGTAAACAGTCAAAAATCGATGGTAAAGCTACCAAACCACAGATTTCAATTGTGCTGTTTGAAAATTTTTTCTCGAATGTTATTTTTTCAAAAGGATTGGTACTGCTTGACTTTTTTGGGCAAAATTATCAGAGAACATTTTGAAGAGAACGAAGGATAAACCTAAGAAATTTTGTGCAAAAACAATGAAAATGAAATGCCTTTGATAAAAGATTTAGAACACCGCAAATTGAGACGCATAGTTTGGTAATCTCACCATCTATAATATGAATGGTGGAACTTCCAAGCCTTGTATCTCGATTTGCGGCGTTGCAGACTTCTAGTTGTTCTTTCTTTTTGAATAGAGTAACAATCAACGTCAATAAACCAAAACCTCCCTGATTGTTCTACTACTAGGCAAAGTCCGACAAAACTGCAAGGAACGATGCTGATTTGAAATCTCTTAAAGAAATAAAATAAAAGCGGAGATTTTCAAACACTGCAAACGAAAAAGGAGGTCCAGTGCTTTCATCATCGAATATATCGATGGGCAACCACGTGTTTCCGTTTGCGACATTGCGGACTTCCTGTCATATTTTATTTTTTATTTGAAAAACTCGTGAATCTAATCTCTTGGTATCGTCTCTGATCTTTCTTCTCTGCTCTTAGTAGAATATTTGATTGAAATTCAAGCTTTAACTAGGGCTCGTTTCTCCTCGAAAAAATAAAGTGGGAACGGAAATTTTGATGCAACGGAATGGATATACGTGGTTTTGGACTGAAATAATCGATATGGCTTTCTCCACCCTTATCTTACGACTTCCTTTCCCAATATGTCTCTTGAATCCCACGCCCGAATGAATTTATTCTTTATTTTCTTCTTGAATCTTATAATTTTTCTCTCTTGAGCTGGTAAGTAGGAGTTGTTGGTTTTTATGTTGACCTTGGGTTTACCTCGCACTGCTTTGGGTATTGCATGATGAAGATCTTTGCGCCAGGACGACCCAGGGCTGACCCGGCTGTTTGTGAACAGGTGGAGACGATAGGGGACGCGTACATGGTCGTGTCTGGGGCGCCCGAGCAGGAACACAACCACGCCGAGAAAGTCTGCAACATGGCACTGGATATGATCGACGCCATCACTGACCTCAAGGACCCATCTACAGGTCAGTTTGAACCCGAAGATTCTTTTGTCCGAATTTTAATTCGCATTTCAAAAATGGTATACCCAGAAAAATATGTGAAAATATGGTGTTCAAACATTGGTCTAACTTCCATGAAACTAGATTTAAAGGGCCTGGAAGACAAAGCGCATACGTGCATTTTATAAAAAAAAATTGAAGCATCGATGATTTCAAATCATACTAGTCTTAAAATATAATGTGTGCAAAATTTAGCGCTAATATGAAATTTTTAAGCATCAAAAAGTGAGTTTGAACTTCCTTTCCACCATAAGGCTTCATGTAATGTTGGAAACCGTGTACAAAATCTGCACACATACGCCTTGTCCATCAAGTCTTTGATTTAGTTAGGAGTGCAGAAGGTTCTTCATTGTACGCTTTCGCAAACAATCCATGCATTTTCTACGAACTATTACACAGCGCAGTCGGCGTAATTGAAACAGAAAAATTCCCACGGTTGCGGGAAACAAAAGCCGCCTCTACGAACGCGTACCCGATGTAGCGCCTTCGACTTGCAGAAATACTTCCAACGCTACACCGTTTGACCCTTGATATCTGATGTGCAAATTGCCTACACTGCGCCTGCCAGAGTGTACACCTTGTTTCGAGCCTTCGAGGCACAGTGTCTATTCGCGATCCACGGATCGGACGATGGGCCACATTCTACGCGTCTGAATTTATCTCAGCTAAAACTACTTCCATGAAACAGCACAATTTGAAAATACACGACAAAAATTTGGAGCGTCTGGAGCAAAAAACAACTTACTTCGGCTCGATAACTTTTTGATGAATGTTATTCGGGCAGACATGATACGTCTCTACTTTCCCGTCATGGATCTTATTCAGTATAATAGTTGAGTGTTTCGCGCTTGAAGAATCGTTATAACATACCCCATCAAGACGGCAACCGTATTATTCGGTGCACAATTCACTATTAGATTGGTCTATAGTTGCACAGATCCATGGAACGTCTCAAAATTTCTATGGCTATGGGAATTTTATTTGCCAGTAAACTACCTTGAGAAAAATTGCCTGGAATTACTGAATCTGATTGGTCGTAAGTGTAAAATCATCCTTTTAGCTTGCTTAACTGCCCATCTTTACGAAAATGAAAATTTTGGGAAATTTGTCAAGAACTTGCGCCCTTGTGCAAAAAAGCTTCAACAGTGGTCGCAATTCGACCACTCAGGGTATTTTCTGAAGTTTCTGATGGAAGAGATCATGGGAACTTCGCCAAGACGGGAAAGCAGCCGTCGCAGCGAAAAATGTTGATGATAAATTTCCAGTTAAATGTAAAATCTAAAACTATAAAGGAGAGGCCCCAATTGTGTACCCAATGTTTCAGCGACTTCCCGAAGGCGGATTTCCTTGAAACTTTGTACGCATGTGCGGTTCGTGCTGAAGGGGTGCAATTCGTCGTCCGATTTTCGAAATTTTGATTCTAAGGGTTGAAAACACGCTAAAAAAGGGGGACCCGTGTGTTAGAGCGGTGTTCCGCGATCGATCGTCGTCGTCTGGTCGTCGTGGTTTCCCTTCTTTTATTGCTTCTCGATCAGCTGTTTTTTCTGTCTAATTTTGGAGATTCCGAACCGGAGCAGTGTTGCCGAAATCACGAATTCTGTAATTTCACGTTATCTATACTATAAGCTCCAAGACCTCCTAATTTTGCGAAACTGGTAACGCTTAGTTCCAGCGTTCTACCGGGCCGATTTTCATGATTTTTGCGGCTATCGACGGGCAATTGTCTCTAGATAAGCCAACTCTTTTCAGATTTTCAAAATATGGCCCAGGTTTTTTTATATTACGTGGTAAAGTTGCGAATTCTCCCATTTAAACAATGTAAATTTATACTTTTTGTCATAGTTCGTTTGAGCGTTCTACCGGGCCGATTTCCATGATTTTTGCGTAAATCGACAGGTAATAGGCCCTAGATGAGCCCGCTGTAATCAGATTTTGGAAAAAGGACCCAGGTTTTTTTAAAATCACGTTATAAAAGTGAGTGAGTTTACAGATTGCTCCGGTACTGCTACCGCTATGCGCGGGAGGATGCGCAGTGGTCGAGGAGGTTGCGCAGTAGCTGTGTGGCCTGCGCATCAGCTCTACACTTATCTACACAAGATTCGTTCCTGTGCCCTCACGCCGAGCAGTGGCCGAGTCGTTTAAGACGTCGAATGCATCCACTCTGAACTCGGTGTAGGTTCGATCCCCGACTCATGAATCCCTAATTATTACCTGACTATCATTGTTCATTGTTTTACTGCAATATTTCATCAAGCAGTCATTCCAAAACGCGTCCTTTTAATTTTAAAGTAATTTTAAGTAAAGTTTAAAATTAAAGTAACCTCACATCGTAATTTTTTAGGGGAAAAATAAAACTAACACTGATAGGAGGGTAAAAATAGGGCCGCGAAGCGGCCCATTGACGGCGCGGAGCGCCTTCAGGGGGTTGGGCCGCGTAGCGGCCAGGGGGCGTAGCCCCCTAGTATTTTCATATGTGTTAAGAATGTTCTGCGTTCATTCTTGAAAGTTGATGTAATTAGAGGATTGTAAATTGTTCGTTCTCGGTCACCTGATGACTCGGCTGCCCTAGGCGTTCGTCGTCATGGATATTCGTCGTTTATGAAGAATTCCGATTTTTTCGTTCAGTGCGCGTCGTCTTTTGAATTTTGATAATATTTGTCGTGTATGAAGAATCCCGAATTTTTAGTAAATCGCGCGTATTCGTTTTAATATTGAGAATGGATCGGAGTCGAAAACGTGGGCGTCCGGCGAAGCGTGGCAATGTTTCTCGCAATTTATCCGCGCGACGCAAAGTGCGGCATGATGGCTATCTCAGTGAGATAGATAATGTACGACGTAGGGGTGATCAGGGAAATAACCTCAATTCATTTCGGCAGAGCAGTGATAATATTATCGAAAATGATTATCCGGAAAATAATTTCGGACTTTTAAATGTGAAGTGCCAGTATTGTGATGCCTTGCATTTCAAAAAAGAGGAGGTGAATGGCCATTTTAACAGATGCTGTCATAATGGTCTTCTCAGACTTGCCGAGCCTGGAATCAATGACCAACTTCGCGACCTCTTCTCCAAACCCATCTTCATGACTAACATTTTGAGGTACAACAGTTGTATGGCTTTTGCATCTCTGTCTGCTT